TCTCAACAGGGACCTCTCTTTTGCAATCCAATATGTCTCCACTCCAGTCAATAGTTATGACACAAAGGGCTGCATCCACACAGCAGAAACAATCCAGGTTGACAGCCCTGTGAATGAGACACCTCCAAGCCCCCCTGTCCTCTACTGCTCTGCTCAGGTCTTGCAAACTCATATCCATGACCTCCTTAATAGAGTCCATCCATCGCATGCAGCCTTCCTCTCCTTCTGCTTCCCTCTACCTTTCCTATTATTATTGTCTTTTCGGGGATGCTTTGATTGGGAGTTCCTGCATGTCAGGGGGGTTGGATTGGATGGCCCTTGGGGTCTCTTCCAACTCTATGATTCTATGTTTTTTTCCTGATGTGACCAAGTATTGGTGACCATTGTTAACTGGCCCCCAAGTTGACCTCGACCCATGGCAGTGCTGTGGATGAGACACCTCCAAGACCCCCTTGTCCTCCGCTGTCCTGCAAATTCAGGCCCATCCCCTCCCTGATTGAGTCTAGCCACCTGGCATGCCGTCTTCCTTTCTTTATATATCTTTCTCCCTTTCCTAGCATTACTGTCTTTTCTATTGAGTTGTGCCTTCTCATGATGTGGCCAGGCATAGGCTTCAACTCATGGCAACCCTTTTAGCATTATTGTCTTTCCCAAGGATTCATTCCTTCTCACAATGTGGCCAAAGTACAACAGCTTCAATTTGGCCATCTTGACTTCCAAGGAGAGTTCAGGCTTGATCTGACTTGGCTCTTGGTGACCCTGCGGATGAGAGATCTCCGCCTGGAGTGCCATCTTCCTGTCTTTCTACTGCCTTCTACCTTTCCTAGCATTATTGTCTTTTCCAATTATTCACGCCTTCTCATGATGCAGCCAAGTATTTCTTATTATTAATTGCCTTCAAGTCAAACTCAGCTCATGGTGACCTTGTGGAGAAGACATCTCCGAGATCCTCTGTCCTCCACTGCTCTGCTTAGGTCCTGCAAACTCAGGCCTGTGATTTCCCTGAAAAATCACTGGAAAGCCTTCTACCTTTCCCAGCATCAGTGCCTTTTCTAATGATTTATGCCTTCTCATGATGTGGCCAAAGTACAATGGCCTCAGTTTAATCATCTTCCAAGGAGAGTTCCAGCTTGATCTGTTCAGGGATCCATCTCTATGTCTTTTGGGCAACCATGGGATCCTTAGCGCTCTTGGCCAGCACCACATCTCAAATAAATGGATTTTCTTCCTATCTGCTTTCTTCACTGTCCACTTCTCACAGCCGTGCACATGGGGATGGAGAACAGGGTGGCTTGGACAGTCACCGTGATTTTTCAGATTGCATCAGGGGACTCTGAGATTGGGATTCCAAGCAGTATACAATTAAAAATATAATTGTTAAAATACAAATAAATGCCAAATTAAATGAAAATATAATACAAAATACACCCCCACACACACAGAATACCATCCATACCACCTTAACTAAGAGCAACAAGTACAGCAGGATCACCCAGACAAAATGAGGTGAAAACTTCCTTTTTTTGCCATCAGGCCTTTTAAAGTGATAAGGATTGGGCTTTTAAATGCCGTGCAGCTCAGAGTAAGGTATAGAGTTTTAAAATACATTTTAATATTTTAATGCATAAAGTTTTTAACTTTGTTTTAAATGTTGTTACCCGCCCCGATTGCTGCGCAGAGGGGCGGGCTATAAATAAAAATTGATTATTATGATTATTATGCATAATTGCTTTAACTTTTTAAATGGTTTAATTATTTTTTAAATGTTGTACTTCTACTTTTTTAACATATGTGTATTGTTCTTACATTGTACTGTTTTAAATGTGTTGGTAGCCACCTTGAGTCCCTATATTCTGGGCTTTTTCTGTTGTCGCTCCCAGACTCTGGAACGGCCTGCCGGATGAGATCCGTCAATTAACATCTCTGGATAGCTTCAAAAGGGCTGTCAAGACGGATCTCTTCCGGCAGGCCTTTCCAGATTAAACCACCCGGCCTTAAGACCTTGAGACTTGCATCAACTGTTCTCAAAAAAAATATATCTGTTAACTCCCTTTAGCAGGGTTATTGGTTGGTATAAATTTTAATTTATTAGTTGCATTCTGTTTTAATTTGACTTGATTTAATAGTTTTTTTAAAGGGGGGAGGGGGGAATGGTGTGTTTTAGATTGTATTCATTGTATATTGTATTTTATCATGTTCACCGCCCGGAATGGTTCACCATAGGGCGGTATATAAATAAAAATTATTATTATTATTATTACTACTATATTGGGAGAAAAGTGGGATATAAGTAAATAACAACAACATGACACAGGCCTGACTAACATGGTCATTTTTTTCTTTCTCCTCTATAATTTTTAACACCTTTGTCAGATGAAGAAGCATGTGGAGCTTTAAAAACTCGAAACATATATTTTGTGCTTTTTGGCCCAAGAAAGGCTTGCGGATTTTGGATGTTATTGTACTTTGGTCCACAGTCATTTGTAGACTTAGGTCTTTTGCAGAGTTACTCTCAAAGGTGCTACAAGATCCCATTTGTATACTGATATTCCAGATTAACATGGCTGTGTCTCTGAATTCTTTCTCCAAATGTTTAACTTCCTCTTGGCTCCCCATTACTGTGACCTAACCCCCTGTGAACACAATCCACAAAATACACACAAAACTTGGTGTTTACCTTTCTTGATTGATTAACTGCTTCCAAGGCTTTTTTGTTCAGCGGCACACTGACAGACAAATGTCATCTGCCCTGGACAAAAAGGCATAAAGTTGGCAAGAGTGGTATATATAAGTCTTAAATGTGGATGTGCTTTGGCTAATGTTTGCATAGTGGAGTCATGGAGGATGCTTCCAAGCCTTTGTGTTGCCAAACTGAACTGTTTCTGTCAAAGCCGCCTGCTTACACACTGTATCACAAGCCCCAATTCAAGAAAATCTGGTTGATTTTGAGTCAGGCTCTGCAGAACAATCATGCCTTTGAGTCTGCCTTCCAGGTTCTTGTTTGCTTTGCTTCCAGTGGGACTTTAGTTAAGATTAACATTTGCTGGATCCAGGCCTCTATGTTTTAATTTGCCAAATGGAACCGCAGATACACATCCTGGTCATACATTTTGTTATTTACCCCTCAGTTATGCAGACCTTCTCTTAGAAAAAGATATATTTGGGGTAGCCATGCAGCAAAATACTACAAAATATAAAATCCACAAGGAGCGATACTTTTTTTTTAAAAGCCAAACCCAAAGCATAAAATACATTAGGCGAGCTTTCAAAGCTTCACTGGCTTCTTCATCAGGCAAAGATGTTAAAAAGCATACAGGGCAAAATAGTGATTTTTAGGTACTGTATAGGGAAAATCAATTTGACACATTTACCTATGCAGCACCTAATTTTCCCCACCCCCAGATGAAACAGTACAGGACTCTTGAGAAATCCATGTTGTTTTCTTTGCACAAGGCAAAGACACCTGGATCTCAAGAGAAGTTACTTTTCTGCTGTTAACTAGAGTTCAACATGAATCTTATCTATCATCACCATTTTCCTCCCGTATGATTTTTATCATCTTTCCCTGTTGAAGAAGCCAGGGAAGCTTCAAAGGCTTGCATAAATGCCTTTTATGAAGTGGAGCCGGACCAATAAAAGATCAGTGCTTGTGGATTTTATTTAACCCTCTCCTAGGGTTTTCTTGGCCAGATTTCTTCAGAGATGCTTCTTTAAGGTAACTGGAGGGGTAATTTCTTGTTCCCAGGCTCATTTTGAAATTATATGGCCCTAAGAAGAGTCTCTTTCCAAAGGTAACAGGATGCCTGTGCATGAACAGCATTTTTAAACATGGTCCCTTGGTTGGAACATGACTGCTTCAGTCACTAGAATGGCCAGAATAATCAAGTACCATTCACTAAACCTTTCAATGCATGCCTTGTTGATCTTGCTAATATTGACTTGAGCAAGAGGGCAAGGTCTGCTTCCCTGTTACTACAAAGCCTTGAGCAAAACTATATCCTAAAATGCCACATTGGCTACTTACCATGAAGCAGTATTCTGGGTTGTGGAGAAGAGGAATCTACACAACTTCCTGCCTGTCTCTAGGCAGTGATGGGAGTAACCCAAATTGTATAGATGCCTTCTCTCACCAACCCAGAGAATAAATTTTGCACTTCTGAGAGGAAAATATTCTAAATTTACCCAGGAACATGAACTCAAAAGAATTCACTCAATACTTCCTGATCCAAGCAATGGCCTCCTGGGCATGGAAGAGTAGCAAGGTTCAGACTCCTTGCTGGAAGCCAACTGCTGGAAACTACACTAGACCAGCAACTGGTAATTGTTATATATGGGGCAATAGCTGAAGTTTGTTGCTTGTTTTAGGACTGACTACACTGGCTTTAGGATCTGGGTCAAAGTCCAAAAAATAAAATAAAATAAAATAAA